CTATTATTATATAATATTATATTAATCATTCATTCAACATAGTTTTGTTACATTTCATGAACAATTGCTTATTCAGAGGTGTAATATGCACACCGACTTTGAATAAAATCGAGCTTTTGATCTTGACGATGATTTTTCCTATAACCCAATGTTAATGGAGGAGGTCTATAGAATTAAGAGTCACAAATAAACACTGCCCCACATATAATAGGTTTTTAGGGATATTTTTTACTTTTTTTAGGTTTTTGTGTTCCTCTACTGGGTTAGTAGTGCATTCGTAAATAACAAGCATGCAAATAATATTATATACAATTATAATTCAAATTCTTCTAGTAGAATTTTTTTATATGCAAAACATGGCCTTTCTCCAATATATCTTCGTTTCTCTATGTACAAATATTTAATTTTCAATACTCTGTCTCTTTATTCTATATTTTTGCAACCACCAGTTCGTTTTGAATGACATTTTGTAGAACACTTAACATTAGCTTTTTTGCAAGGACAATGTTTCGTTGCACATTGAGATTTACAATCACACGTCGCACCACTCACTGATCCGCGTACAAATAGCTTACAAGCTTCAATCAATGTTATATTTTCCAATTCAGCAATATCAACAGCTTTCAATTCAGACGGACAGACATGTTTCAGTGGAACCAAACTTTCGACTGTAAATGATGAAACCAGTTTCCCAAACTGACAAGCTAGTTGAAAAGCAACGTCATCTCCTTTTTTTCTTTTGAAAATATTAAACATGGTAAAAGTTTCGGATCTGTATTGGTTCTGTCAACATCATGAATATTGATACCAACACAATCGCCTACATTGAGTGTTTCAGCTAAATTTTGTAAATGTTCGTCATATAGTTTACGTTTTTTATTTGCTGTAGCTAAATAGTTGTCTGTGGCTTGTCTGCGTATTAATGCATGCCGTGGAGATTGAACAGAAGATGATAAAGTATTTGATGATGATGGAATGTCAACAATGGATGAAACAGATGACGAACCAGTAAAAGTTTGTGTATCAACAAGTGATGGTGACTGAAAAGCAGCGATAACCGGTGCTGCAGAACTTAAAAGTGCATCTAATTCATCGAGAATATTAGCGCAACAGTTAGATCCTAAACCAGTCTCATCTGAAGAAGCAATGACAGTAGGCTTATCTAATGTCATTACTGGACTTGATGGTAGCGGACGCTGAGAAACAACCTTTGTGGGTCACTTAGGTGAATCAAAAGAAATAAGATTATCATTCAAAGGAGAAGCAATTGCAACAGAAAGTGGATTAAGAATAGGAGCAGTACAAATTGATGTTGATGATACATCAAGAAGAGAAGGTATATTAGCATCATCAGGAGCAGTTTCAGTATCAATAAAAATTGTAGAATTTGTTGTACCATCTGGATCCACAAGCCCACCCTCCAAAACTATATCATCCGAAAAACCACCTACCGGTGTTAGCAATTGTTCTTCATCTACAATATCGTTTTCTTGTATAATTTTCCAGAATTCTTGATCACATCTTGGCTTTTGTCCAAACATCACCTCATGAGGTGTACATTTTGTTGCACTTGCAACTCTAGTATTAGTTCCATAAACGACTGATGCAAGACCTTCTGACCAATGTAGCGAATTCGTTGTTGTCAACTATTTACCTAATGCGCCAGTCAATACACCATTAGTTCTCTCTATACAACCCTGAGACTGCGGATGTCGTGGTCGACCTCTTACGAAACACATACCTGGAAACAACGCTTTCAATTCTTGAACAACATCAGCAACAAACTCGCGACCATTATCCGAATGCAACAAACGTGGAGGTCCAAAAACATAACACAATCCTCTCAAACATTTAGCCACTTCAGTAGCCGATTTATTTTGTAATGGATACGCCCAACTGAATTTCGAAAAATGATTAATACAATTCAAAATCCATTGATATACAACATCATTCGAAACAACATCTAGGCGTGTTCTCATATCAACCAAATCAATTTGCAATCTGGTCATAACATCCAATGAAATAATCGGTTTGGAAACCACATGCTGCTTAACTGGTTTGCGGACTTGACAAGCAAAATAATGTTTTAGAAAAATTTCAATAACAAACTTTGGAATCCAAGAATATTGAGAAGCAATCTCAGGAAGCATTTTATGTCTTCCACCGCGTGATATATTTTGATGACATTCACTCACAACAGTATAAAACGATTCATACAAGCATACCGGCTTTCTACTCTTAACACAATAAACGACATCAATACCAGCAACTTTTGATAACAGAAAATTATTACGACACCAAAAAATACCACTCTTACCTTTTTTGAGTGATAATGCCACTAATATTTTATCATAAGTATCTTTTTTAATAACGGTTTTTTCGCGATATTTTTCATGTAAAGAACTGATATGTTTATCAACATCTCAAAAAAACGGTTTTCAGAATCATTCGACTAGTCAACAGTAGCTACAGACGTAGCAGCCATTGTAAAATAAGAACGCGACAAGTGAAATTTTGTTGATAGATAAAGATAGAAAGAATTGAGTGTACGTACTGATGTTAACTTTTTCTAAAGTAATGTTATATTCGATATGACATAACTTGTTCTATTTATATGAAGTCGCCTTACTACGCATAAGCAGTCGTTCGCACAAAAAAACGAAAGAAATAGAAAACATTATTTTTGCTTTGAGAGAGACTTGTACTTGTTATACTATTTCATTTTTCGTATCTTTCGATATTCATTCTTTGTTAGATATATCTATGGCGTGACGATCTCTTTTCTTGTTTTTGTTAATGCCTGTGGTATCACTACTTCTTTTTCTTTCACATTTTGTACTATTCAGTCTATTATGTTCTTTTGTTAAAAGTTCGAAAATACTTATTTTATATTTCTCTCTTTCTTCAATTTTAATATAAATAGTGATGTCAAGTAATCATTTTCCATATATCATGTGCATATCATTCTACTGTATCAAAATAAAGTAAAAAAAGTCTCATTATTCAAAATCTTCATTCTTTTAGAAAGAGTCGACCCTTTTTTACCTACAAGTCAACTAGATGTTCAACGTAATTTAATGTAATACTGATATATTCCGGTGATATACAGTATAGATTCTCTGCCTTGAGTATGATCCGTGATTTGTTGTACAATAATCCTAACAAGTCAAGGCAAGTGCTGATAAAGAAAAGACTGTATACGCCAGTATAGGAAAGAATTTGAAAATCTAAAAGAACTATGTTGAATAAATAATTAATATAAGTAATAAAACAAAATATATAATAATTAATATAATATATATCAAAAAAGCTCGATTTTATTCAAAGTCGGTGTGCATATTACACCTCTGAATAAGCAATTGTTCATGAAATGTAACAAAACTATGTTGAATGAATGATTAATATAATATTATATAATAATAGTATAATAATAATAATTCCAAATTTCGATTCTGATCTGGTCAAAATTACAGTTCAACTTTTGGCCCGTCAAATTCTAAATCTAGTCAGCGAGAGTTGGACTTCCAGTTTTGGCCGTTTAGATTCTGAATTTGGCCAGTCAGAATTAGAATTCCAGATTCGGCCGGTCATATTCGGAATTTTCCATGTGTAGGCATCTCAATTCTAAGTTTGACCGGCCAAAGGCAGAATTTCAGTTTTGCCGGCCAAATTCGGAATCTGGCCGAATTCTAAGTTTGACCACAACATATACATACAAATAAGAAAGATATTTTTATCTTTCCTATTTATGCAAAATTTTGAAATGCTCCCTAAGTAGGCTGTTCTACCTCATTCCGGTTACATTTTACTTTATGTCTGGGAATGATATAGCAATAGTCGGAGAATAGAGGAACAGCGGAATATCGACCGACCGGAATATATTTTGAAACGTTTCCTTTGTTATGACGGTTAAAAAATATCAAGAAAAATATGAAACTATTGCACAAAATTTAAAGTATGTGTGATGAGCCTTCTATATTACTAACATACACATTTAATTAATCAACCATACATCTTGTAAACCATATATAAATTAAACTTTTTCTTAAATTCTGTCCGAATTAGTGTACATATTTTGTTTTCGCAAACAAAAATATCAAGTTCTAATTCTGACCATATACATCACAAATCACAAACTTCTTTAACTCTTTCTTGAAAAGTTTATTTGCCTATTCTGAAAGGTATTTTCCGATATGTCCGTCTTAATATCGATGTGAAACTTCTTTTTCTCGACGATTATCACGACCAGAAGAGAAAGTCGGAAAGTGTTGAGAGTGGAAAAAAGTTTAGTGATATAACAACACAAGAAGAAACTATTTTTTGATGAAGCTAAGCAATGATATTGGTGTATTATGGTGTATGATATATTGATCTCAACAACCAGAGGGGCCCTATTGCTGAAAAATAGTTCGACACGTTGTCGAACATTTTCTCTTTCAGATAGATAGAAACTAGAAATGGACACTCCCTGATTAATTTTTATTTAACTGGTTAAGTTCAGCGATTTTGCATTAAACTCATTATAATCGATATTTTTCTTCTGCAGAAAAGTGAAACTAAAAGACAAAATTTCTTCGCTTTCATTTCGTTTGCTAGAGAAAAACATATATAATTTAGCTTTAGATTAAACTGAATTGTGCAACTGATAATAGAAAACGAAAATTTCTTCCATTCTGTGACCAGAACAGATTTTTCGCTTTCTTTCTCTTTCTGCAAATAAGAGAAAAAGAAACGCGAGAGGACGATATTCATCTATATCTACGCGTAGAGAAATATATTTTACACGTAGATTTTTCAACGCGTAGAATATAGTCTACGTCTACATTCTGCGCATTCTATCATTTTGGACGACTTTTCTTATCTAACCGCTGAGCTTTCTAAAAAATTCTTTAAAAATCGGTTGTTCCGGAGATCTCTGGAAAACCGAGTCGTAACTCTAAAATTCGCAGCATAAACCCATGTTCTGGAATTCTTTTTCTAAGACGAGCATTGCTATCAGATTCAGCGTTGCTGGCTACTTATGTTTCATGCAATTTCAATGTCACAGGCAGTCACCAAATATCTGTCCGAGGGCTGGACACATGGCGGAACAGAATGCATGGAGTTGAGTATGGAAAACTGGTTACTAAGACTTCAAAAAGTTTTGAGAGAGAAAATTTGAAAATACTGAAGTAGGTACGTTTTATCGAAAAACTGCTAGGTTTTGAAGAAAAGTTCAAAATAAGTAAGTTTTTCACCCAAGTGCTAAAATCAACTACAAATTTAGAAATGTATATCAGCCGTGATTTTGACGCTGATCCCAAATATGATACTTTTATTGCATAATGAGTGAGTTGTGATAGAGAAAATTGAGAAATACTGGCAGAATTCCGATTTTTTCGCTCCTGATCTAGATAAATGAATTTTCTGAGATAAAAAATAAAAGAACGATATGTAGGTTTGTTCCTCAACGTTCTTGCCGATTCAGAACTATTGCCTTCATATCTTACCAGATGAAACGAGATGGGTTTATAAAATGAGTGAAGAGCCGGTGAAAGATCCAAAAATGAAATCATGTTATATCTGAACACGATCAAAAGTAAGTTTCTAGATTCAGTTTCACATGCGGAGCGTGAAACGAGTGGTTTCGAAAATTTAAAAGAGCGCGAAACAAAGTCATGAGCTTTTCTTCAAAACCTAGCGGTTTTGCCATAAAATGTACCCAATTAAGTATTTTGAAGTTTCCTCTCTCAAACATTTTTTGAAGCCTTAACCAGTTTTCCAACGCATCGTAATCAAAACGATGCGTTCTACCATATATAAATACACAAAAGGAGAAATTGTGCTAAAGTTTTGAATTAGCAGCACCCTACAATTTATTTCCACTTCAGCAAACTATCATTACTGATACTATATATGGAAATTTGACAAAAGCTGTGAGAAGATATTGTCATACATGGGAGTCCACGCCTGGAAATGCGTGGTATTTATTACAAACATAAATAGCAAATTCACTCTTTTGTTCACAAGCAATATGGTATGATCAAAATGTGCTGGATTTATAATTCTAGGTAAGGTGCCTACAATGCAAAAACAGAGCAGATTTTATTTTATTTATATTTATACATCATTTGATAGAGTTTGATGTGCTGAACACGAATATGTGCTTTTTAATTTTCTGGACAATGTTTTAAGCGAGAAAAACTCGAAGGGTGAAAAATATTGAGAAAAATGCTCATTCGAGAAAAATTCAAATTTTTATCCTTTTTGTTGTGAAAACTTTTTCAAAGACTTTTTTGTGATTTGCCATCAAAAACTGAGTATGCGAGTGGTCTTTGATTGATTTTGAAGTTAAAGGTCTGTCCGGTACGGCTCTGACGAACGCCTCTACTAGGGTATGCTAGTAGCCAACTTTGCAAATCTATTTAGTTTTTAGTACGAAGAGATAAAGTCGATTAATGTGTATTTCTATCCTATCTGACTACTTTGATCTTTTCGAATTTTCACATTGAAAAATTACCGAAATTTTCACCCAAAATTTCAGTTCAGCGGTTCTAATGATGTACCACGCTTGGCTTTATCTCTTCGTACTAAAAACTAAATAGATTTGCAAAGT